CCCTTGCCCTGCCACTTCCAACCCCCGCCTTTGTTGGAACATGCTGACCAATGTTTTGGGCAGGGCAGGTGTGTGGTGTTGGGGTGGTGGTCAAACGTGGGGGGGTTAGACCCCCCCCCCCCCCCCCAGCACATGACACACCATCAGCTGATGCAGAACAGAACAGACAAGCCCAAGTCCAACCCACGAAAGATAAACTCTTCCCCGCAACGATGTCAAATCCGAATAAACGCAAGTCCATACCGATACCCATCATAGAGACGATTGTCATCACCCCCGCCTTCGATCGTATATTCCCGTTTGGCAATGGCCTCCAAGTCGATGAACACCTCGTATGCTTTGAAGCCAACCAACGGACGACGCAGGATCACTACACGTTCGTCCTCGTTCTTGCGCTTGAACTCGAGCACAGACAGTGGGTCGATAATGTTTAACAGAAGCGTAATGGTTATATATGTCGTCCAAAAGAGAATGCAGGTGCCTCGAGACGCGTAGCCCGAGAGACCGGAGCAGGTGAAGGCTCGCTATAGGGGCGAAAATAGTAGACGTTGCCTGGCAGGCGCCGGGTCTCGGTGGCTCGGGAAGCTTGGGTTGTTTGATGCATGATTGCTACCGTAGTGAGGACGAAAATGAGAGAGATTGAACTAAGTTGGATTTAGCTTTGATTGAACATCGAGTAATGTGCGCAGTCTGGTTGCTAAGTAAGAGAAGACGATGATCCTTACCGAGTTTGTTTAAAGGCCAATGATGAATATAGTTTCCGTCTTCTGATTTGTCGATAATTCTGAATTCACAGAGCCAAGTCTTACATTGTGATGTCATGTGTTAGGAAATTAGCAAGAGGGATTCTTATGAGATGCATTGATATATTAATGGTCCGCTCAACGCAAGATTCGCGAACAGCTGAAAGAGTTTCAGCGAGAATACACCGACAACATGGTTCGAGCTGCAAACACAATGATCTCTATCCCCATTGGGACTCCATTCTGGACTCTCAGCCTAGTCTCATATAATATTCTACATTAAGTATTGACTAACACATAAGTCTACAATACTATATACCCCGACAAAGGCACAGTCACCGCAAGTAAATAGCCCATCACAAGCCCGTTCCTCTCTGCAGAGCCAGTCTCGGCTGGCGTAGCAGCAGCAGCACTCGAAGAAGCCACCCCGGTTGCCGTACCCAACGCAGAGGAAAAAGACGCAGCAGAGTTACCACTACTCTTCTCGCTCTTCTCACCTCCATGCCCCTCCGAAATCCCCCTATCAAAAGGCGGTGACTTCTTGGTACATTCCCGCCCACATTTCCTCACTTTTTCCCACCCTTTTTGAATTCCAGCGGCCGAGGTTTCACCCTGCATCATGTAGTTACTGTATAAGACAACGTCGTTCTCCTTAGAAAAACCTTTCAACTCAGGATTCCCGAAGTTCCAGTCGCTGTAGGGATAGAAGTGTGCTGTCCAGTAGTACGCCAGCGCGCAGTCCCAGCCACAGGCAAAGTCGGGGTAAAAGTAGGTGTTTTGTTTGTTGTAGCAGTTCTCTCCGTGTCTGGAAGAGTTCTTTCATATTAGCGATTGACTTGGTTCACGCCACGTTTATGAACAGGTAAGAAGAATAATACATACTCATCTCTCGCACACGCCCTCACCAACATATACTGAAATATCAACCCCACCGTCTCAACGGGAACATGCTCAGTCCCGTTGAACCACAAATATCCCTTGGCTTTAACCGCTACGTCACCGGACTCGCTGCACGCGTCTCTCACGTTCTCGATATACTCAGACAGCAAGGACTCGCAGGTCGAGGTGCACATGTCGGTGAAGTCTCCAGGCTCCATGGTTCTCAGGTAAACGCACCTCTCGTGGGCGTTGACAAGGCTGACAAGGAATCCATCACAATTGATGTCGGCGGCGTAGGCAGATTTGCATTTTGCGGAGGTAGTGGCAGCGAGGTTGGAGGTCGTGTAGTTCCAGCCCTTCGTTTGGATATCTAGACTGAAGGACTGGGTGAGGGCGGGGAGGAGAAGAAGAATTGGAAGGAGGAGATTCATTCTTGTGATATATTTGCAATGAAAATTATAATATTTGGTTATGTTATATCAAAGAGTGAAAGGCGAGTTGAACAAAGGAATGAATAAAGGGTGAAAGAGAGCATGGGGATCTGGGGTCAGGACAAGGCCCCCAGCTCGTTTATATTCTGAAATGAAAATCACCTGTCCAGGAGGTCGCTTGAAATTGCAGGGTTTATGTGGTCCGATTCGACCGAAGCAGCCTTGAAGCCTATCGTGCCTTTCAAGGGAAGAACTAGCTCGCGGTCTGGTGGCTCAGCGGGCCCAGGCTGTCTAGGTACATATGTACCTAGGTGCATACTATAACAGCCCAATCGGGAGGCAGGTAACTGCTACAAGTTAGCTATTTTGTTGAGTGCAACGGCGGGCCGAGCTCATATAAAACAACTGAAGAGAATCTAACCCCCCCACGGAGGGCATGGCATTTCGAATACCCGATTCTATGCCCCACGCCATAGTAGTTCCATATGCAGTCATAAGCACATTAGTGTACTGATGTCTGGTCATCTGTCCATAATGAACAGCAGGAGCACAAACAACGAGGTCAAACGCCAGGAGTTGAGCTTCTGAAAAGTGCTTCTGATATGTCCTAGGCCAGTAAATCCCTGTTTGCATGGCTGCAGACCCCTGGTTCAGCATCTGATTTGGTTCGCAGTGAGATTCCTCAGGCTTAAAGTCACATGGTTAACTGCTTTGTCGCTACCCAAGAACTTATGTTGGCTGATCTCGCTCGTTGCCCCAACTTCCCCTGCGACTCAGCATGCTCAGCTCATCACAAGACCATCACTGGATATTTTCTCCCCCGGGGCTCTCTCACGCGAAATGCTGCCCTCTGATCTCCATATCCCCCACTAGAAATTCCCCTTTCCTTTCAGCGTCTCCATGGGAGAGCAATCCGCTAAGAATTTTCTACGTGAATCTGCTAGCGGGGCGCCTGTTCCTTGCTATCTTTTTTTTCTCTTCTTGTCAGTCGCGCTTGGCCTCCTCCTCAAAACGTGCTCTTCACGCAGTTTGTCTTCTCCCTTGCCATATCCCGAATCAAGAAATCGATCAACCTTATTGCCGCATCAAAAAGCGCCTCGGATTTCTTTCAAGGCCAACCAGACCCTGGTGCAAGCAAAATGGAAACGATGACAGAGGACCGTAGGTGTTTTCTGAAGCCAGCGTACCTCAAAACAGCCCCTCACTAGCAGCTTGGAAATAGAGCCCGCGTCCAACGGTACCTTGAAGATCTGCGCCCTGCCCACCGAGATTGTTGAGTCGATAGTCGGATTTCTCAGCTCTGTTGATGTGTGTCGCCTGAGGTCCAGCTGTCGCGCTTTCTACGGGAAGACGTTGTATAAGTTTGGGAAAACCTGCCTAAGCACTGTTAATACAGACCTGTCATGTCGCAGCTTACAGCGTTTGTGGGAGCTTTCGCAAAACTCAGCTTTTCATCACTATGTTCGCGGATTGAGAATTTCTGCTGCGCCTGGCAGAATGCTAGGTGATGGCTTTTCTTGGAATAGAGCTCCTGGAGGTGCTCTAGCTCCTCCCCATCTTCAACTAGGTGCCCAAACCTTGCGTAACGCTCTTCATGACCTGCCGAACTGTACTAGGTTCACTATCTGCCTCGAGCATCCGCATCCCGATAACTTCGACATGTACCGCGGCAACCACCTATGTTCGACTGATGCAATCGCCCTTATCCTTGACTGCGTCGCCAACACAGGCCTCCTGGTGACTTCGTTCAACGTCGTTAATAAGGCCTTTAGATCACGGGGGACCTTTGAGATGGAAAGCCCTCGTCTTTTCTTCCCCGACCTCTTTAGGCAGAATTTCTTAGACGGCTGGGCTAATGTGCGGGTACTTCGGCTTCATCATAGTATGAAGGGTGAAGATGTCATCAACTGGGCCACCAAGATCGTTAAATCCTCTCGTGACCTGAAAAAGTTGGATATCAGGTTTGGGCTTGACAACGAAGCCGGAAATACTATACGTGCGCTTGCGGAGAGTGAAACCTTGCCTCCGATTCGCGATCTTTGTTTCTCTAGTTCTTCACGTCTTGGGGGTGCGGATCTTCTCGCTTTGCTTCGCCGCTTTCGCGATTCTCTTCATACTCTCTGTCTTCATGTAGACATCCAGAGTGTCGAATGGAGAGAAATCATCACAGCCCTAAAAGATGAATTCCCGGGACTTTGCCATGTGAACTTTTACCGACATGGATGCTACTTTCTCCCAAGTGTTCCTATCATTTCCCATCTTGAAACCAGCCCATTCGTTTACCGTGTCGATCAGAGAGGCCTGCCCGTCAACTCTTCATTTCCCAGCATGTTGGCTGCTTTGGAAGCTCTCTTGAACAACCCCGAGTATTTCTTCTACGGAGCGCTATGGTGAGGATTACGATGGGGGAGGGGTTATGACTCGGTATAAGCCCAGTGCCAGGAGGGAGTTATTCAGCATATCTGAGGGAACCACGGAGCATAGTTCTCATTCGTGTCCCTCCTCGCTGCCTCTATACCGAGGTGTAGTAGGGGATTCTTGCGGGTTTTTTCTCGATTTTTCCCCACAGGCCTTTATACCTATACTCTGGTCACCATGCTTTGAAGCGATGTAAAGTATTAAATGATGACCCTCTTGCACACATCTATTGTTGTTCATGAGTTTTTTTGTTGCCATGTACCGGTGAACTCAAGTGGTAGTGGACTGCTTTTCATGTTGGCCACAGGAGTCGTTATGACTAACCAGTCAGCAAAGAGTTTCCCGGTCATACATTTTTTGGTTTTTGTTTATCTTCATAGTTCTGTTCATTGTGTATGTGAATCAAACTTGGTCCTTTAATTTCCACTTCTCCGAGGACCCCGAGTGGGCGTTAGATGGAGATTAGCCGATTCGGCGGAGCTCTCTCCTTAGAAACTAATAGAAATTAAGCTCTACAGCTTCCAAACCTAGATGTCCTCGCCTCGGACCGAGATTTATCAAGGATAGACGATAATATCCCAATTGTAGAAGTTTATTAAAAGAATGGATACTTGACAAAATGAAACCCACGTAGCCTACCTCACATGCCAAAACATGCAAGGCTACCAGCTTGGCCACAGACACCTGCTATAGAGAACGATATAAGCGTTAATCTTCTGGCCTTATTCCATAGATTCAATTCACGAGAACGCCTACTGCATGCTTGCTCTCGTCTCCCGATGATCACCCGGCTCCACTTATCAACATCGACCACCAATTCCGATCCGGGATATCCTTGCAAAGACCCACCCTCATGCTGTCAATTAATAATCATTAATAATTAGTTTACCTAGGTAAATCGCAATAGTGGTTAACTGACTCCACGGCGATCCTCTTATCACATCTCAACTCTGCCCCTCCTTTCCCACCTTCTCAACCAACATCAACATCAACTCCATCCCCAAGACACCAAACCAAACCACCACCTCCAAAATGGCATTCAAAGCAGTAGTCATGTATCCGAACGAACCGGACGCCACCTTCGACAACACCTACTACAAGGAGAAGCACATGCCCCTGGTCGAACGGATCTGGGGAAAATACGGCTTGACCACGTGGCACATCCAGAAATACACCACCGCCCTGGACGGAACGCCATCGAAGTATTCGATCACGACTACCTTGGAGTGGAAGAGTGAAGATGCAGTCCAGGAGGCTCTGAAGGATCCCGAAAGCCCTCTGATCTTCCAGGATATCCCGAAATTCACCAACACGCAGCCGATCACTCTCCTCGGAGGGCCTCTTTAAGTGGACTGAAGAGGGTACGTTGGCTATATGGCACTTTCTTTTGCGGATTGGTTGCTGATAGGTGGTGTTTAGGACTTTTGGCTTCTACCCGGGACATATTTCTGAGAAAGAGCTTTGTATCTTAGTCATGTTATAGATGAGGAAACGGGATAATTATCTTGACGAATGAAATATAAGATCTATAAATTGTTCACTGATAGCTCTTTGCTCATGATTTCAGCGCTGGACATGTAGTTTCTGTCGAGATTCAAGAGACCGAAAGCTCCGTTTATAGTACACAGAAGTGGAACGTAGCTTAGCGTTACTGATCATATCGACCGCACATCTGTATATTGTCAGACTACTCTGCATTTCTCTTGCGTATTGGGTAATAGAAAAGATTGTTCATTCCGAGCATAAAGTAAAGCGATTAACCTATAACTAGTTAGTTATTAAATCCTTTTCGGATGACAAATACTGGCAAGATAACGAACAGTCAGATGTCGTGATGAATCCTTCTACAATAGAGAGATGTAAGCAATGGGTGCGTATTTCCAATCATTAATAATTACCAATTGATTATATCTATGTCATTTGTAATGGTTGCAAAGGAAGTAGAATGGAGATGCGCTATATAAAACCCAGGAAAAGAATCACGTATATCATTATCAGTGATCGAATCATTCTGAATTAACCAGTGAGGTTTATCTACCGGTCCTCAAAAACACCCATCTCATTTTTTCCTCTGCGTTAAAAAGACACCCCGACTTTCAAAATGCCTCAAAACGAAGCTGCGTGGATTCAGACTGCCTCAACGGCTTTCGTGGTGGACTCTGCGCCGGTGCCAAAGCCCGGTCCCAGGGAGATAGTGATCAAGAACCACGCGGTGGCCATTGTAAGGATGGGATCAATTGCTCCACTGGAAAACTGTGCTAATATGCAAGCAGAACCCCGTTGACTGGAAGATCCAGTAAGCATATCAAAATCTCGATTACGTGTGGTCTGTTGACAATAGCAGATATTACCAAGGGGGCTATCTAAAGAACTACCCCTTCATCCTCGGAACCGACGCCGCAGGAACAGTCGAAGAAGTCGGTGAAGAAGTGACAAAGTTCAAGAAAGGCCAGCGGGTTATTGCGTAAGTCAACCTAATTCACGCATCCCACCCTCAAATTTGTTGTTAATCCGGTTAGCAACCAGACACCTGGTGGGATTGAAGACATTCGAGCCAGCCAACAATGCATTCCAGCTGTATCCGGTATCCGATGAGAGACTCACGGCTGTCATTCCGGATTCTCTGAGCTTCGAGCAAGCAGCGGTCCTGCCGATATCTATCTCCACAGCGGCCACTGGGCTGTATTCTCCAGATAACCTGAACCTTCCCCTGCCATCGGAGAATCCTAAGCCCACCGGGAAAACCCTCTTGCTTTGGGGAGGAGCCTCGTCCGTCGGAACCATCGTCATCCAGCTGGCTGTTGCTTCAGGGCTGAAAGTAGTCGCCACTGCTTCTCCGGCTAACCACCAGTTTCTCAAGGATTTGGGTGCCAGCGCCGTGTTTGACTATAAGTCTCCCTCTGTCGTGGAGGACATAGTCAAGGAGCTTCAGGGCAGTGAGATCGCTGGGATCTATGATGCCATCACAACAGACCAGAGTCTTGAGCCTGTTGCAGCCATTGCGAGGCTGATAGGCAGTCACGATATAGCGACGGTGAATTACCGAGAGAGTTCGCCTGAGGGAGTCAATTTCAAGATGGGTATGTTTTGTCCAAAATATTCAGATTAAGCCGTGTTCATATACCTGACTTTGAGCTCAACATAGTCATCTGTTATGCACTGGCCTTCTCTCCCCACGAGAAGATCGGCGAAGCCGTCTGGGGCGAGTTCGTGCCAAAGGCTCTTGCCAGTGGACAGTTGCAGGCCAAACTTGATCCGTTTGTTGTTGGTCATGGATTGAGTGAGATCCAACGTGCAGTAGATCTCCAGAAGGCTGGAATATCTGCTAAGAAGGTTGTTGTCACCCTCGCTTGAGGATTGGGTTTCTTCGGAATGTCCGGCGAAAGGGTAAGCAAGCCGGAGAGTGATACCTAGTCTGCTGTAAGATAATTACTCAAGTGGAATAGATCATAGTAATCCTTGAGAAAGATGGTCCATCGAGGAGGCACAAAAGGTCCATGGTCAAGATATCTAATCCTAGTGAAATAAGCATAATAGCTTCATCCACACAGTCTCTAAAGGGTTGATACATTAAAGAAGGAGTTAGGTCGCTAGTCAAAAGATCAATCAAATCTCGGAACGAAACTCGGCCATTTCAATTTGGCACCCTGGTCCCTAACAGTCATGACTCTCTAGATAAGTATAGAGATCCAGAAGAGCGTAGAATGGGTGCATGTTTTTCCTCAAGCAGTGATAATACCAGAGTTACTGCGCAATAGTTATCAAGCAGACGCAGCTTCTTGTATTAGCCCTAGAAGATGGCATGGATGAGAGTATAATTGATGTGTTCTGCTTTCGTTGAAGACAACAAAGACACAGCAAGTAAGAACTACCCACGAGCCGGTGACGTACGTATAATTGATGTTGACCCATTTCTTGACCTTAACTCTTCTATGAGCCCAAATCCATAGCCCCATCTCTCCTGATATCTTGGGATATGTCCATCAGCTCACCCATATTCCCTTGGTAGATTGATTGCTCATTGTTCCTCCCTAATTCAAGAAGCCCCTCGGACGAAACCGACACGCCCTCACATACCAGTTTATTGAATATTCCACCATATTCATTCAGCTTCAGTAGAGTGCTCATGATCCACCATTGGCGAACCACAAACGTTGAAATCGCGTCCTACCAGAAGAAAGTTGATGGGCAGCCGGCACATATTTACTCTCTCCATCGTAGGGAAATTTCATTCGTGTAACCCCGTCATAATATGTAGAGAGGAGGTGACTTCTGCTCTTTCAATAGGCTCGATGCCTTGCTGGGGACCAACTTTTAGAAATGGGAAGAGACTGGATATCATATCGGCCGAGTTGTAGCAGAGATAAAATGCTATCCACATGCCTGTTGTCCAATGCCTAATACTTCAATTCCTCAACTCAGGTTTCTTTTTTCTGTCTACCTTCGTTATTGTCTTATCATTCATAACCACCCTCCTCCTCTAACAACCACAAAACCAAAAATCCATGCTCCTCCCCACCACCTCACCCAAGAAGTTTCACAGAAAAAGAGGCCCGTGTACTGCATCTACGGCAGGTATATCCATCCATACGAAACACCCACCACTCTGTCCAGACACGTACGTATATACACACCCCCAACCTATTGGGTAGACAGAGAAGACACAACCCCCAAAACACGGTTAGACAGACAGCCAGAGAAGCAGACAGCCAGAGAAGCAGACAGGCAACGCAAGCAACGCAAGCAACCAACACTCCCCGCGAACAGACCCCTTCAATGTTTCAATCTATTAGCTAAAAAGAAAAGAAAGCAGAGAAGGGAGATTTTATACTGAACTGGTAGGCCGGACTAGGCCCTCAGAACCCTGGTCCCTGGGCCCTGGACTATGCGCTAGGTCCGGTAGACAGGCGGACAGACAGACAGACAGACGCCGTAATTTCGTATGCAGTCCATCGTGAAATGTTGGTGGGTTTGGTGATGGATTCTCTGGGTTCGGTATTGAGTGTTATTACTCCATATTGTCTTGTGTTTAATGTAACTACCTACCTATGAGATTATCTAGTTCTAGTGAGCACCTATCTGTCCGTCGCTCTAGGGATACATGTATGCCATGGGCGTAGGGAGGAGGTATACATGCATAGGCGGATAAATATGACTAGGATGACGGTCTTCAAGGTACCTACCTAGAGAGCTGGCTGATAATTACTCCGTCGCTACTTTGGTAGTGTAGGTAGGTAGGTAGCTCAGATTAGGTATGCGACAGTCAGTACGGAGTACATCCGAGGAAATCTATCTACAGTATCATGCTCATTCCCTACGAAGATACTCAAAGAACAAAGTAGATATGACCATCTCATATTCACATTCAATCACAATCACAGAGACTGTAAGTAAGCTAACTAGTAACTAGACTAAGTCGAACAACGTCATCGCTAAGAGACACAAGAATGACACAAGGAAAACAAAATCAGCCGCACTGTAGACGGGGTTGGGTATGTTCGCTGGGCTATGCAAATCAAGTCAAGTCAATCAAGTAGGAAACGCGGGAGCTGTTCTGTGTAACAAGCTCGGGGTATGATCGGAACACAAAACAAGTAGCAACAAAGAAAAAGAAAAAAGAAAAGATAAGTAAGTACACGACTGGGTATCTGAGCCGGAACTCGGACCGCTAGAACGAAAATGAAAATGAAACAGAGACAAAATTAAATAAATGAAGAGGCGCGAGATAAGGAAAGGAGGGGCATCGGAATTAGTGAGGGGGAGGAGGCTAGAAACCGCCTGGAAAGCAAATCGAACGATGACGCTTGAACGACTTTCCCGAAATGGAATGAACAACAATCAGACGAAAGGAGGACTTGGAGTCTCCGGCCAACGCCATCGCGACAACGCAGAAGGAGGTCAGAAAACATTAATAAGAATAATGGTCAAGAAAAAACCAGGAAGATTGGAAATGCAGAGCGCGTGCCATGACCCTTTGGGCAACATCCATCGGCCGTGAGTCATGGTAAGGGAGGCGCCTTGACAATGGCGGTGAGATCGATAAGGATGATAGGCCATCGTAAGAAATAATGAGGAGCGCCGACAGCGACGGGGAAATTAGGTAATCGCCGTATCGTATCGGTAATTCCGCCCCCGGCTACAGCGCGTAAGCCGGTCACTCCCCTCTGTCGTCATCGCCCAGAATCCGGCTTCTCCTGCCAGATCGTTTCGTTCGCGCTTTGAAACCCGGTCGCGTGTCTGCTCGGCGCCTTGTGATGCATAACCTTCCCCCCTTGACCTGGGGTGGTACGGTCACCGAACCGTGGGGGGGAGCTGTCACTGGATGCTTTGTTTTGGGGGGAATGACGGGAGCTGGACTCGGAGCCTTGTTTGGCGTTTTCCAAGGAGTGAAAAATAAACAGTGGCGACCACAAAACCACCAATACGGCAATGTTTGCCGCAGTGGAAAAAAAAAACAACGAAGCTGTCGGAAACTCTGCCGATCACTCGATAGCTCTTCTTCCTTTTCTCTGACGGAAAATACACCGAAAGAAAAAAGAAAAGAAAAAGAAAAAAGCGTGAAAGCGTGGGGTGAAGAAAGTGGGGTTGGTCGGGTATGCATGGGAACGGTCGATAACTTGGTTGAGTCACTCTCGCACCCACCAGATAATCGGTGTAGTGTGTACGCAGTAGTCTTTTTGGCTGGCGATCTAGCTGCGAGAGTTCTTGGAAGAGGAAGTGGCACGTCGCTTGCGGTCAGGAATGGCCTTGCGTTTCTTGCGTTTCGCGTTCTCGCGCTCCACCGCCGAGAGCTGTGCCACTCGTAGGGCCTGCTGAGCTCGTGCATGGGCTTGAACCTGGGCCAGGAATCGAGCACGGTGAGCTTCCTCTTCGGCTGCAGCGCGCATCATCTGGATCTGCTGCTCCGTCGTCATGTCGGGGTCTCCCATGGCGGGGTCGTGGGCGGCGGACTCCTCGTCGATCGCCAACTCGACGGGGCCCATGGATTCGAAGTAAAGGTCCTCGTCGGAGATGTAGGCACTGGCACTCGAGCCCTCCGAGTCGGCACTGATCAGAGAGGGTCGGTTGGGCCAGGAGGGAAAGGCACAGGTGTTGTTGCTCATGCCGTATCCGCTGGAGAAAGAGCATTTGCGAGGCGTGATGTCAGTCAGGGTATTGTCGCTGGGAGAAGGAGGAGGCGGAGGCGGCATCGAGATAGGAGAGCATTCATAGGCGCTGCCGAAGCTGAAGGCGATGTGTTGCGTGGTGGGAGATGCCTCGCTGGGAGAAGATCTGATGCTGGAACTGTTCTGGCTCCAGGGCTGGAAGGGGTACAATCCGCCCGATGAAGGCTTGGTGTACTTCATTGTGAATAGGAAAGTGCGTGATGGAGGAAATCTTTGCGGTTGAACTCTGAAGAGAGTTGGGTGATGCTGCTATGATAGATAGATGATGGTGAGGTGAGTGGAGAGGCAGTCGAGGTTGTATTGTTGTGTTCGAAGAAAGACGATCGACGGCGGAGGGAGAGGATGATAAATAAACAGACAAGATTAAGGTGGTGGGGATTGTCTGGCGGTCTTTGTACTGAAGGATTGCAAGTAGAGGTGAAGAATGATGAAAGCTGGTAGGCAGGTATAGTTAGGAAGTATATGTATGGATGTATGGGCCAGATCGATCGGGGAGGCGTCCAGACTCCCTTGCATATCCCAACAGATAAGGCGTCGCGGGGGGTTGGCGTAGGGGGGGTGTGGAGGGTCCTTTTTTAATTTTCGATTTATCTTTTTTTATTTTATTGATTCCCTTTTTTATTATTATTATGTTCTGGAATCCAAATGTCAGGCCCCACTGTCAAGCCAGCCCGTGAACGCTTGAGGGCCAAACAAAAATCCCAGGTAAAAAGGGAATATTCCACGGTGCTGGCGAATCAAGCCTCCAACCGGGGAATGACAACCTGCGAGTCAAGCGCAGCGATCAGGCGGAAGGGGCGTCCCGGCAGCTGTACAATGCGTGAATGAAGAATCGAGTGGGCGAGAGTAAGGCGATCAGAGCCCGACTGAATCACTTGGGAAAAATGATCAGTCCAGTTGGGGATGTCAAAGAAAATTCGTACGAAGTATTGGATGTATGGGAAGGAAAGAGAGTTGACAGAGACAATCTGACAGCAGACCCTGGTCGGGCGGGCGTGGATCTATCGTTTTCTTATTATACATCTTCATTGTCGTCCTCGAAATTAATGGAATTTTTCCTTATTCTTCGTTTTAAATTAAAATGAAAAAAATATTATTTATTTCCCCTTCCTTTCAAACGTCGGTCCGCGGGCCGGGGAAGATCGGATTTGGGGAGGAAGGAGTGCGTGGGGAACAAATGTCAAAGGA